GTTCTAGCGTTGGCAACTGAGTTATCTCCGAAGTCAACTTCGGAGGCACAATCAGATCAAGCGTATAAGCGCCTACGCTTGATCCGTCCTTAACCAAGACGTTCAACGTCTCGGTTTCTTCCTGGGATCTTGCTTCCACAGGTTGCTGAGGGCCTGATCCCTCAGCAAGCAACTCTTGAGGAACTCCTTCCTCAAGTACGTGGAGACTTATTCCCTCGACGTCTTCCGACTGTGGCTGTGCAACCACAGTCAGGAACCGATCCTCTACGGTCGACTCTCCAGTCGACCTAGGATTTTCATGTTGCCCCTTGGGGGCAACAGATTTCTTTTTCTAAGATGCTGCCCGCTAGGCATGCATCCATGTCCCGGTCCACTCGACTTATTCGAGTGGTGGACCTTCGGCGCAGCCTGTACTTCTGTACAGCCGCCGGGAGCTTGCTCCACAGTGTAGTGATCAACTACACTGTGACCTTGTGCAGTCGTGCTAACGACCGTACCGCAAGTGAGGCCATCGCACTCACTCGCAGAACATCCACACGCTTGTGGACGCTCCAAGATGTTCATCAGATGGCCATCTGATGAACAAGCAGCAGGCATCTTCACGGATCGATGCTGCCAGCTCACACTTGGCTCGTACCTTCTGAGCCAAGGTAATCCCAGGATGACATCAAATTTGTCATCCAGATCTAGTACGATGAAATCATCATCGTACTGCTCGCCCTCTAACGTGTAGTGGATTCCTACTACACGTTTCTCAACGGTTATCGATGCGCCTGTTGCAAGGCGCACCGTCATCCTTGTGAGGGGAATGTCGCGCTCAACGAACTTGAGCCTACGACCCTCTAGTGACTGGCGACGAACAAAGTTGTTCGACGCCCCACAGTCTACTAGGGCACGAAGCGACAAGTCATTTGTCGCTTCCAACTTCAAGGTGATGAGCGAAACGTCATCACCAGGTGCAGAGACACACAATGATTGTGTATCTGGAGCAACTTTCGTCAAGAGGTTTGCAAATTCTCTTGAGGTTGCTGGATCAGTAGGGCGCTCCGCCCCTACTGACCCCGACCATTTTTTGATGGCCCGTCTCGCTGTTGCGGCTTCGCAACAGCGCTGGACCCACGCCCATTGCCCTTTCTGGCGAATGGTCGTCCATTTCGCTCAGTACTGTTTGGTACTGGGCGCGGAGCACTACACTCGTATGCGTAGTGCCCTAACTTCTGACAGCGATTGCACCTCTGCAATCGCTTGTTGCTTGTAGAGCGAGGTCTCTCGCTCTCAACATAGCAGAGGTCCATTAATGATAGACCTCCGATCTCTTGTCGTCTCGGTGGACGGTAAGAGTTTGAGCTAGCATGAGCCTGTCTCATGCTAAAGTCTTCCTGTTCCGCGGCTGATATCGCTTCTTCAAGCGTATTAAGCTCAAGGCGGAACAGGTGGCTCCTGACGGGCCCTTCTGCGAGCCCTTGCATGAACACCGTAATCAACGTGTGTTCATGAACTGGGTTTGCAGTTATACTACTCGCAAGGAGTCGTATATGTTGTGCGTAAGCGTGCACATCACGCTTACCCTGCTTGAGTTTCAGGAGCTCTGAACGAGCCCTGAACTCAGCACGTGGCGGCTCAAACGTTTGTCTGAGCCGGGACTTGAAGTCATCTAGCGACCTAAACACATTTGGGTCGCTACTCTCGAGTCCCAGGGACCAAGTTTTGGCACGCCCTGCCAAGTGGGTCTGAGCAAATGTGAGTTTCATTTGCTCATCTTCGACGCGACGAGCCCTTAAGGCTCTGTCGAGTTCGACAAACCATAGTAACAGGGAGTCCTCCGGGACTCCACTGTACTTGGAGATGTCGACTTTCATCACTTCGGGACGACGCGCATGCGCCGTCCCGCCCACAGCAGCATGGAATTGCTGCTGTCTCAACAGCTCCGTCTGTTGAGCACCGAGTTCTCTCAACTGCTCGGCCTGTTGAGAGCCTTGCTGGTGAAGCAAGGCTACTTTCTCCCTCTCGAGAGCAAGTTCATTGTGAATGAACTTGGCGATAGCAGCATGTTGTTGGTCTCTGTCTAGAGACTCCAACATGGTGCTGACGACGAGTTCGCCTACGGTAGAACTCATTCGTTCTACCGCACCCCATTCGATGTCACTCAAATGGGTAAACCCTTCACGCGTGGCGTGAAAGGTGTCTTCTTCATCCAACATGTTCATGTTGGATGATGTGGTCCTTGGAAGGACTACCAAGTGCTACCAGGTGTAACGGGGCACACCCTTGCGTAACTTAACGCAAGGGATTTGGGTGCCCCGACGGACGTACACGTGGCGAGCGAGGAAGCGTAGGTAGGGTAAAAGTAGAACTGTTATATTAATAAATTAAGTCTTTAAACTACTGTCTCTTCGTTTGACTTAATTCAATTATACTAATATAACTGCATGTATGGTGACGTCTCGTCACCACTCATTGCGCGCGTCTTGCGGCGATTGGTGGGTTGATATCATCACGATATCAACCAATGGACAGACCCTTTGGTCGACCCTTCACTATCACCACTTTGGTGATATTGTTTAAAGAATATCCATCTTATATTCTTTATTGTCACTTTCCTTAAGTGACAATATCATGTAACGGGCTGCCCCGTTACACTAGAGGCAATCAATTACTGCTCCGACGATAGCTACTAGTGTGGAAATGGGTCCTCATTGTCAACTCGATCTTTTACCGTCCGTTCCGTTGACAGCTGCGGTCGTTGCCATCCCTAGTCGACCACGCACGGCCCTACAAAATCTGTACGAATGATTTTTGTGGGCACTATAACCACTACGGAAGCGTGTTGGCACATGATGAGTCCAAGTTAACTCAATGACTCGAAACAGGCGGGGTGTCGATCTATGTCGGTGGAGGTGGCAGTTAAAACGCAACAAACCAACCAATCAAAGCGATGGATTACACAAGCGGGCGATAAGTATTTCGGTACAGGGAGATACTTGGCATATCAGTGCAGGTTTACGACTTCTGGCATGGACCTTCACCAGTGGCTGCGGCGAGGTACCGGCCATGTATTTCTACTTAAAGGTCACATAATTTCTACGCACGAGAACTCGACAAGTTTCTTGCTCCCTCGGAGAAGCTCCGGGTGCAACGTCAGGGATTGAAAACGGGACATTATGCTCCCTTATTCCAAGGTGTCTAAAGTTGGTGGGAAGGATATTGCTGGGCTCTGTCATCCCATCATGTTTATGCAATCATCGCTGACGCTACAGAGCTTCGCATGAAAGGAGTGCATTGATTTTAAGGGACGTGTAGCTGGATGAACACCCATGGGAACGCTGTGCGAGTGGACGGCAACTTAGCTTTACCACATATGACCAAATTGCCGACTGCATAATTCAAATCTACATATACAGCGAATTGGCTTGACCGAGTTCATTTTTACCATTCCAGCTACACATTAAGGGGCCATCTACTGCTCCCAGCATAAGTTGCGTCGGTGGGCGACATCTACACTACTGTCCTCCCCCTCAATCCACATGATAATGAGGATAAAGCCGGAAGCCCCAATTGTCGATCAGGCATTCCCCTCCATTTCGTTTGATCTATGACTGGGTATTGAGCGTCGAGGGTACATTGTGGGGACTCGCGGAAATATTCTGCTTCTAATACCAGGCAGACCCGAATTAGCAGGGCGTCGGTCGATTGCATTCGTTTTTTGTAACTGATCCACCAGAGTTTACGGGGACTTTTGCAGGCGAGAGAATATTTAGGCGGACCATATCAGGCTGCACGGTCTTATCTTTAAAGCTTATCCCCACCATCACCAGTACGCGTGGGCTTTACCTGATCAGGCACTTACCGTCGCCATTGACAAGGCGATCACTCGAGGCGCGTTTGAGCTCCACCAACACCAGCTTACCGAACCATCAAGACCCTTGTTGAAGCGCTTGGATGCGATCGTCTGCACGGATACCTGGCAATGCGCCGCGGCACATTAGCTTCCGTCTAACGTCTGGTATAATGCCAATGGACTATCAGAGTATCAAGTATGGACTGGATTCAGAGTAGCTACGATGCTACTCAATTTTAAGATGCGGGGCGGCCCGTCGATAACAGTTGTCGGGCACTGCCAGAGTGTCGCGGTTGAAAAGAAATCTCATGCCACATATTCTGGAAATGTCAGAAGACGCGCGCATCTAGGGTAAGCTCCTACGACACTGGACCGGTTCTGTCGACCCGTTCTGTCGACCCGTTCCTGGACACTCTCAGTCGTCTATTCAACTTTGCAAACAGGAGCGCACCGACTATACCGGTAACGCAGCAGCATTGGTTTGAGCATAGATTTCAAGACAACGTCGTGTAGGGCAAACGAGTAGGCGCAATTTGGTTTATTACGAGCTCTATATGCCAAATGCACCTATGAAGTGAACAGAACGACGTCGTGTTTCGGTGGGGGGGGATCGCAGTCCACGGCGTCGCAAAGCGTCATTTAAATTTGGAGGCGAATCCTCGTCAACTCTCAGCTCTAGCCAAGCGGGAACATAGATATTTGGGCAGTGTGATACAAGGGGCTAGGTTGCACGCCTGTCTCGAATCGTTTACTTTCCAGTCTAGCGGACTTAAGTGCCGCTCGAGGATCGTTACGAAAAGCTACTTCTCCCGGCGCTATGTTCCTGGCTTTGAAGTTTTCAGACATGTAGCCTTAATAATAGGTAATAGACCGCCGGCAATCTCTCTCTCCTCCAGTCATTGCTCCTGCCCTCCCTCTATACCCTTAAAATGCGTTTAGACTAATCAAAAGCCACTATTTGGTTCATAAAAGGGTATTTTTGTTTACCGATGGGCGAGGACCATTCAATGAGTGTGTCACAACGATGCAGACAGACCCACTGTGTCACGATACCAAACTTTAGTATCGCGACGAATCAAAGTTCACTGCCACAATCAGTGGCCGCCACATTTTGCTTGCTTCGCATTTCTCAACTGTCCCTCTCGCCTCATCTTGTGACAACATGCGGCTTACGTGCTTCCTCGCTCTTACGTGTGCCGTTCTCGAACGCGGTCATGCTATCGCGGAGTCCGACCAAGTCGCGCTAGCGTCGGGAATAGTCCCTGTCTCCCGAATTCTCCAGCCAAGCGCTCTGTCCGTGGAAGACTCGAGTGAAAAGAAGTCGCTTCGAAGCCGTGAGTCGCCAGAGGAGGAGGCAACGGCATTCGTTATCGCGGACGAGGAGCGAGTACTTGAAGCGGCTGATACTTTAATACCATTTCTTGAGAAAGGGGCGAATATGGTGAAGAAGATCTGGAGTAAGCCATCCCAGGCTTCACCAATTGAGCTCAAGCTTGATCAGCTCAATCTTGACCAGTCTAAACTTGGTCAGCTTAAGCCTCCACACCCTGTGCCCGGTCAGGTTGAGCCTCTCGTGCCGCCACATAAGATTTTGAAAAGGACGTCGACAATGCAACGATCCAAGCGACTGACGGATTTGGTTGCATATGGGACGGAGAAGGCCACGTCGTCGGGATTGAAAAGATCCGGGAGAGTGGCAGATCTAACTGCATTGGTTCAAGGGGAGTCCCGTCCGTCGACATTGAAACGTCCAAGAGAGAAGCAGATCTAGTCGCATATGATCAAGGGAAGGCCAGGCTGTCGACACTGCAATAATCCAAGCGACTGACGGATTCGATCGCCTGTGGGGCTCGAGGCCACTGAAGACAAGTGCTGAACGTCTCAGACGACTCGGGGGGTGGGGGTCAGGTCAGAACTGCAGTCACAACGAGTAGTAAAAGTAGGGCGAACATAGACGACTTGGTCGACTTGTACACAATGAATTTACACCTGCAGGGACAATTGATGACTGGGCGTTTGTGTCTTGCTTTTTCCTTCTGGCCTCACTCGCCTTCTGCTTCTTTGCTCTCAGCGGTGTTTCGTCACGTCGACCCCCGTTTCGCCAGCTGTCTTTTAGCATCGACTACCACAGTCGTCGTCATACTCCCACAGTCCCACGACCGACGATAAGGCCGTTCTTGAGTCAATTGTCTGCTACCGCGTGTTGCAAGTCGCCCGTAACACAGTCGCCACGTGCACAACTCGCACACTCGCTCGCGATTGGTTCGACGGCCTGTGCTATCTGCATACGAGGGCATCGAGGTCATTATTAGCCAATGCGATAGAAAACAGAGGAGAAGAGACCGATGTACAGGACAAAAAGCAGCGGGAGACGCTGGATGAAGGGCACGTGAAGAAGAGGCGAGACGCGCAGGAGAGACCGCTCGTTTTTATTGAAGCAGTAACAAGAGGCGAGAGAGAGAGAGAGACGAGATGAGTCCCGCGCGCTGGACGATTTGATTGCCTTCCGTCTGTTCGTGTGCCCGACAACAGACGGACGGCAATAAAAGAGACAATGAGACGTCGTTGGGTCTGGACGTGCATTGAGCAGCACCACGTTGCGGCCGCGTTCGTTGATGCGAACAAACTTGTGGCCATGGGAGACGATGATGATGGGGATGATGCTGGAGCTAGAGCTCGCACTGGAGCTAGTGCTGGAGATGGTGCTGCTATCGACGGGCACGACGTGCTGCTGTTTGCAGTCACGTGCTACTGGAATCGAGCGTTTCATCGCGCGATTTACGTAGTAAGGGAGCCAGATTGGTGGACGTGGACGGTAGCAAACGGATCCGAGCGAGGCTGTCTCTTCATGTGACGCTGCGTGCAGCTTGGGCGTTGGGAAAGTGTGGGGTAGGAATATGCTGCTGCGGTTTTGAATTTGGACACTGACGTTTTAAGTTGTGTGAGCTCGGGGCTGATTGTGGTTGTGAGCTTTTAGCTGGCGATCAGACAGAAAGACGAGTGCTTGGATTCTTTGTAAGCAGTGATGCCTATAGTGGAGTGGAGAAGTATAACGGGGCACACCCTTGCGTGAACTTAACGCAAGGGTTTTGGGTGCCACGACAGACGTACACAAGGCAAGCGAGGAAACGCAGGATAAAGTAAAAGCAGAACTGTTGTATTAATATAATTAGGTCTTTTAACTACTGTCTCTCTGTTTGACATCACTTAATTATGCTAATATAACTGAGTGTATGGTGACGTCTCGTCACCACTCATTGCGCGCGTCTTGCGGCGATTGGTGGGTTGATTACATCACGATATCAACCAATGAACAGACTCTTTGGTCGACCCTTCACTATCACCGCTTCGGTGATATTGTTTAAAGAATATTCAACTTCATATTCTCCATTGTCATTGTTTCTTTAATGACAATTTACATGTAACGGGCTGCCCCGTTAGATCACCCCCCCTTAACTGATAGTCACCGTGTGACTATCGAAAATATGGCGGCCACCCGTTGGTCACCATTGGGACAGGGAGCTCTTGTTGGGTCCGTTCCGTTCATATCTCAACCTGACCTCGCACAGTTAACATGTCTATGCTGATGAACTCAAGGCACACAAAGTCTGTGCCTGTGCCAGCTTCTGCGGCAGACGATTCGTCGTCTGCTGCTCGTTCTTCGTCTGCAGCAAGAGGTGCTGCAGGTGCACGCGGTACAGCACCGCGTGCGCATGATGACCCCGACATTGAGGTCATCTACTCTGGCGAGTCAGACGTGTCTGACTCGGGCAATGCTGCAGAGGCGTCTCGATCACCGGCGACGCCTCAGTGTTCGCCAAGGCCACTGCCGAACGAACGGACTCGTGAGTTGCAACACAGTCTTTTCGGTAGTGATGATGAGTCTGATGATGAGTATGTTTGCTCATCACCGCAATCAGCTCGTGCTCCTTCGCACGAGCGACTTGACGATGGTGCAACCCATCGTCATACTGACAACAGTGGTACCAACAAAGGTACCACCGTGAAGCGTGATGAGCTGAAGCCGTGGCATTTGCCCGAACGGCTCGTCAATAGCTTGTCTCACGAGACGAGCCAACACCATCGAATACCTTTTTTCGATGCGACTGAGCTTCACGGCTTGAGTCCCAGCGCGAGCAACTTTCGCGCTGAGGAAGACTTTTATCTCGATGTCTTCCTTAGACATCGATGGTATAACGGCAACCAAAAGCGTGACAAAAACTTGCTTTTGGCTGCGTGGAACGCGTTCGTCCAAAACGTATAGAATTTTGGACGAGAAGGGTGGCTCAAGAAACTTGAGGCGACACGCCTCAGGTTCGAAAAGCGAACGCCAACTGGTGCCAGGTACCGGTTGCATTGTTTATCGAGTGAGGCAGGCATTCCTTGCCTCACATGAGAAGACCCTTGTGCGAGTTGTGTGGACATCTCGCAGCGTGCAAACAGGGACGTGTTTTCCCTAAGTTCGCCCTGGGGAAGAGTACACATCTCGGCTGAGATGCGGGACTCAGTTGCAAACTTGCAATCCGTCTACAAGCGCCAAAAGCGCGTGTTTACCGATGGGCCCGAGGACTCATCAGATGGGTCTCGTCATACTGGCGGACGAGACCTTCAACATCCATCGACAGCTGAGAGCGGGGCTCCCAGCTGTTCCAAGAAGGTGGATACCCCCGCCACTGGACGAGGTAGCTCGTCCTTGATCCTGAATCGTCACGGTGATTCAAGATACGCTCCACTAGAAAGCGTTGATCACCGTGAGCATCCACCAAAGGATGTGGTGGAGGAGGAAAGACCTCCTCCAGATGATTCGGTTCACCATCTCGACCCTTACGAGATGGATCGCGCAATCGATAATATGCGCGACGGTTTGACGCACGAGAGGAACAGGCGTTACGACCTGTCTGATTCCTTGCGGAAGTACCGCAAGGAGCACAAGGCGGAGCATGCGAAGCACCGCGACGATAACGCCACAGCGCAGCTTCAGGTCGAGCGGGATGTCCGCTCCCTTTTCGGCGAGCTGGCGACAGCTCGCGGAGAGATAACTCGGTTGAATACCGAGGTATCATATCTGCGAGACCAGACGGACCGTCTGGAGCGCGAACGCAAGAACTTGATGGATGCTCCTGAACGTGAGGTCTATCTTCATCGGAAGAAGAAGGCTCGTACTGACAGTACGGCCTGAGTCGCCCCACGTAAAATGAAATATGCGCACGCATCCTACGTGGCAATTCGAGTGTGTATGCATTGCCCTTACGATGTAACACTCGAAATGGCCCAATGTACTTCGGCACTAGTTTACTACTGCCGACTCAAGTGACTGCGTGTCCAGGTAAGTTTGCCGTAGACAGTAGTACTAGGTCGCTAACCTTAAATGAAAGAACATTTGCTCTTCCATTCATGTCTGCGTTCCGTTTCTGTCGGTCTACCGGATTTGCGATGGAGTCCTAAACGAAACGGACTACCGCCTCTCGATTCAACAGGAAGCTATCTGCTGACTCTTTGTTTTGTCTTTCAGTGCGCTTCGTGCGCACTGCTAAGAGATTGTTTTCTTCTTCAGCGAGGTTGTCTTCTTCCTCGCTGGAATAATCGTTGACGATGCTGAGTATATCCAGCATCGTCATCATCATCATCCGAGTCAAAAATAGCGTCGTTGCTATTATGAGGTGATCTTCTTCATCGATGTCGACCTGATCGACATCGGCATCATACGTGACGACGTTAGCGTCGACACGTGATCAGCAAGAGCCAAAACGGTTTTTGCTCGAGCGAGTCCCTCCCCCCCTTATCCAAGAGTCATACTCTAGAAGGGCGGGAACACGTGGATGGCGTAATCCATTCACGTAAAACGGTGTGTGCTGGGTTGAAGCATGCACCGAATTATTGATGGCAAATTCCACCATTGGAAGGAATTTGCTCCAACTCGGAAACGAGTGGACATATCCTCGAAGGATCTCTTCGAGGACACGGTTCGCACGTTCTGTCTGACTATCTGTTTCGGGATGGTCAGAAGTAGACATCTTCAATCGTGTTCCGAGAGAACGGAACACGGTTTGCCAAAATTACGCCGTGAACAGAGGGTCACGGTCGGATACGAGTTCACGGGGCAACCCGTGGAGTCGGAAGATCGTGTCAAGAAAGACACGAGCACAACCTTGAGCCTTGATCTACTCAGGGACAGCAGCAAGATTCACCATCTTGCTGAATCGGTCAACAAACATAAGATACCCATCATTCTTGTGAGCGTCTTCGGGAAAACCAAAGACGAAGTCCATTGAAACGGACTGCCAGCACTCTGCCGGGACCTGAAGAGGTTGTAACGGTGCACGGGATGAAGAGCTAGGCTTCACCCGTTGACAAACCTCGCAAGGACGTATGTACTTGCGGACAAACTGATACTGGCGGGGCCAGTAAAAGTCACGACTTACCGTGAGGTAAGTCTTTTCCCTTCCACGATGGCCGCTTGTTGGGGCATCGTGACACTTATACATGATGCGTTAACGCAAATCATGATGAGCGGGTACGACGACACGAGGCGTGTCGTCGGCAACAGCTGTATAGTACAGCAATCTGTTGCGTGTACTACACCGATCCGATGAGGACCGGTACAAAGCTGGTAAATTCCTCATGGATTTACTGGATGGATCCACCAGATGATCCATCAATCGCAGAAGATCCTTATCTTCCGCGTATGCCTTTCGTACGTCGTCAAGTGAACTTGACGACGGGACACTGACTGATAGTGTCGCAACAGTGGGCTTATCATCACTGTTGGTT